ACGCACTTGGCCATGAACATCGATTCGTACGAAAGCTTAACAACCCGAATCGGACGTTTGCGATTAAGAAGATGTGGCTCAATCCCAGCTCTAACCATCTTCGTTGCTTACGCACCAACATCGAGCTACGAAGAAGAGGAGTTGGAAGCGTTTTATATGGATCTGGAGAGGCTCTACAGAGAAGACCACACTTTCTTCAAGGTCATCGTCGGTGATTTTAACGCCAAGATTGGCCCCAGAAGAACGGCTGAAGAGCTTCACATCGGGACTCACGGAGTGGAATGGAATGAGCAGGGTGAAAGGCTTTCCGAGTTTATCATGACGACCCATACCATCCATGGTAACTCGCAGTTCCAGAAGCCCTCTCATTTAAGATGGACATGCGAGTCACCTGGTGGACAGTTCCATAATGAAATAGACCACATCATCTTCAATCGGAGATTTTGCCTGACCGACGTCGCTGTTGATCCGAAGTTCTACACGGGATCGGACCATCGTCTCCTCCGCGCTAGATTCCGCTTCTCAGTGCGTGGGGAGAGAGCTATGAAGTTTCGGAAACGAAGCCCCAAGACCTCCATCAACTGGGACCACTTCGCTTCCCTTGCGAGTAAGTGGGAGGATTCCGTTATCGACAACATCGACGAAGAATACAACCGGCTCGTCGAACATCTTCACGATAGTGCTACGAAAGCAGAGAGTCTACAAGTAGCCAAGAGGCGACTCTCTTCGGAGACTTTCGAGCTGATACGCCAGCGTGGAATCGCGCGAGCTGCAGGCAGTTATCAACAAGACTAATCACAAAATATCTATGAAAATAAGCAAGTCATTATCAAGCGTATGAGGTTGATACAAAACTCATTAGGCTCTCGGACACACGTTTTGAATTCTTTCACAGCACGGCTTCCAAGCAAGTTCCTATGACCTTAGCGGTGTGGTATTCACTTCGTGTGGCCGAAAGGTACCATTCAGAAGATGGAGTGAAGCCCCATCGCTTGTCTTCGAAGAATTGAGTGAACTCCAGAAACTAGGTGCTGTAGAGGTAGCCGTGACTGTTTACTTCGAGGAAGCAACTCGGAGTGTTGCATCCCCTTCGATTTCTGGAAGGAGCACAACAAAACCTTCCTCCGAAGCTGTTCTGGCTTAGATTGCTCTAGCGAATCTTCTCTAGACAGGAGACAGGCAGCAGTGCTCCTGTTATTATTGTTGTTGTTGTCGTTGTTAATGTTGTTACAGAGGGTCAGATCGTCCGTCGTCACCAGTTTCTGCAGAGCCTGTACATAAGAAGTGCGTGGGAATAAGTAGCTGTCTGAGCACGCACAAGACGAGGATCGTCAGGCATTTGGCACAGAATTAAAAAGACGAATTTCTTGTAAGCGTGTTGCTGAAGTGTCAAACAACATAGCTCTGATGGCCCTAGATAAGCTTCCTGCTGCTCGTAGCCTTCAGCCTCTTTTTCACTTCGCTGTAAAGTCGGCCATCATCATTAGCAACTGGTCGTGCTGACGAGGATCGTCATCAAGTGTCGTATTCCAGAACGGAAGCGAGCGATAAGCGACTAACGGTCGCAAGGCACCGTTAGTCATTTATGCTTCCGTTCTGAAGATACGAGGTTTCCTCCGAATGCAGTGTTGATGTTGGAGGCAGCCGAACAGATGCTGAAGCGTCGGCAGTTTTTCGCAGAGGACGATTACTCTCTCGTTAATTGCGACATGAATTACAAGGGAAACCCTCGGGGACCAATTTAAATGTGGTGGTAAATCTGTTATTGTTCTAGAATGCGTCGAAGAACCGAGGGCTGCAAAAGTTTTGGAAACGGCGATACATGCATAATTGCAAAAATTTTGTGTCTCGAATTTCCGCATCAGCCTACCAAAATACCAAAAACATCAGAAGATTTCCTACAGTGGCGTGTTTGAGCAGCACTGAGCTTCGACTTGGCTCAAATGAGTACTCAACGCACTGAACTTCCTAAATGAAGTGAATTTCTAGAGAAAATGGTCCCATGAGCACGTCTGCTTCTTCTATAATAGATCTTCCCCCTCATTTGTGAGAGGGCCTAGTACATTTGACCCCTAATCCAAATCCAAAGAAAAGTTCGTTCGTGTTTGGATGACAATTGAGATCAGGGCTCATCAAAAGGGAAAAATAGAAGTATACGGCGTCGATTGACTATTTTGCAGTGCGTTAACTTCATTCAAGTTCTGTTTTTTCCGAAGCGTTTTCATTCTGTAGATCAGTTCTGGGCCGATTCGAGTTCTTCAGATTCTAAATAGTGCCCTTGGCTATAAGGTGCCAAATTTTCGCTGCATACTTTTTTGAGGTCCATTACTTCACCACATGGACTACTCTCACAGGGGTTATATGATTTGTTTTTTAAGGTTTAGGGGCTATTCGAGAAGGTGAGCGTAATGTATAAGTATAATTCTTCAAACAACACGGGGCCCTTAGGTTGCCATATAACTTTTCAACCAATCCTTCCTTGAACTTACTATTACTATAGGGATAACTTCGTAATTTCCTTTCTTGCTTCCTTTCCTTTGTGTTTTAATCTGTTTGCGCTTTTGGTTAGCGAAAAAAAAAATTCTAGGCGGAGGTGGTGTCCTAAAAAGTGGCGCACGCTCACTTACGCTCGGTTCGGGATCGGATCCCGGATCGATGCTCGCGCAGTCCAAACAAGCCTTCCGTCTCTCCCGGGTCGATAATTAGTTCAAGACTCTAGAGATAAAACTAGTGATTTTTATAAAGGTTGCCACCGCAAATCACTCTATACATATGTAGGCTGAATGTGCGTTAGAAAGTGTCACTACAATTCTGAATGGAAGTCGAACGCGGGACGCATCCTAGAAACAGGATTGAGCAGCCCGGAGGGCTTCAAAGGTATTAACAGTGAATTCTATGTAAAGGATAGGGAGCGATGGCGAGCGTTACAATATGAAAATAAGTTGCCACACAGATAGCTTTTACATATAGTTTCTGCCTCTGTGGAGGTTCCTCAAAATTGACAACAAATGTGGAATGAAATCATTTCTGAGAAGAATCGATGAGATTATCGAAATGAGAAGACTGTCGAGAGCTTCTAGCGAATCCCTAATTGCGATGCCTCTTAGCAGCCTACAATGCTTTTCATCTTTTTTCATCCCTTTACTACAATCCTATGATGCCACCGGAGTCCCAGGCTCTCTTCTGATGTGAGGGATGTATCGGAATTATGCACTCTCCTCAACTTCTCGTTTTTTCTTTTGCTAACAGGCTTTACTACGGTAGTTACCTTTCAAAAGCGAGAATTCAGGTTTTCCGCGGTATTACCTCCTTGCAAAACTTTGCTATCATTACAAATTGCTCACACTTCTTTTTGCTTCTCAATTCTTCCAACATCTATGTACGTTCCTCAATGGGTACTATAATACATGGGAAAGCCTACCCAAGCACATGGTGTTGGACGAGCGAGGGAATAGCTTGAAATTTCTGATTAAATCTAATATGAAAGCGCTGCGGCAGAGGGCTTGAACACTATCGTGAACAATTATGGCTCAATTTTTAACAACAGACATGGTTTCGAGCGGCATTCAATAAACTTATGAAATGCTTTTCCCAACAGCTCTTTCTCTCTCAAGTCATTTGTTCCTTTGTTCAGAATCGGTTGGATTGCATAATTGGTTACGCTTTTGTATACGCTCTAGCACCGGTAGCTCGGATGTGCCCTTACTGGCAGGACGACGATAGCAATGTACGTTGAGGAAGTGGCAGATCAGTTGCGAACTAGTCTCTAGCCATTGAAAAGTTTCTGAGGTTTCTTTTGCTCTGCTTTCAGGGTATCCCTGTCATCACTTCCATTGGCTTGACAATGAATCTGGACAACAAAGAGGAGTATCAGACTTTGACCAGAATTAGTGGACCATACAAGGTGCGTTTTTTCTAATAAAAATGCTTTCCAAAAGATTAGGAAGCAGGAACCAAAGAGAATCTAAGTTCATGATCGTTGACCTGCGTACTGACCTCTCTGAAGGGGGTTCAGCTGAGTTCGCAGAAACCTTCCTTGTGATCTGAACAGGGTAAAGTGTTTATTTTGTAAAATTTGATTATTGATAAGGGGTTTCGAAGGATATATGTAGTTGTTATCGAACTGAAGCTATTTCTTTCTGAGATACCATTGTGCTTTTCACTGTTTTTAATTTTGTTATTTTTTATCTTTCAAATTTATTTTTATTTTTTATTTTTAACGCTATTATTATGTTTGTAGAAAGAAATATAGTGTAGGGCCTGAACTTAGATATGATGTGCTCTTCGGTTAAAGGGAGTGATTGAAAATGGTCATGTAGACTCAACTGAGCCCATCGGAATTCCCACCGATAGCAAAGTTCGCAAGGTTGTTGTTGTTAAGAAAAAGTTTCTACTTTGTACGGTGATCTACCTGAGGACCCCAATGACCTGGAGGTGAGGCGGTCCCACCCTTATGTATGTTGCCACTACCTTTTCTTTTTTTCTACATCTATCCTTCAAACCCCATACAATATGACAAGTAGGCCTTTCTCAGTGAAATCGCCACGTAATGTTGATCGAATTCGGATATGGTCTTTTCACATTCACTGAATGGATGGCCTCAGAGCGATCGGTTTGTAGGGAACCAAAAAGCTAGTATATTCGAAAGTTAGTCGCTAAAGTTGATTGCAGGTTCTTACCGATGTAACTTAGCTTCAAGGGACTTTCTTGTGTACATCAGAATTTTTGGACAGAAATCCATTTGTGAGTAAACGGTTCGTCCATGAAATATTTGTCATGCATGCGTGAATCTAGCATTAAGTCACAATGTATACTAAACGGTTACTCAAGCGCATGTTACTGAAAGAGTGGAGCTTTTTTCACTTTTTGACGTCAGTTGTGGAAAAGTGTTCCATTATCCTCCGCGAATGGACCGCCCTTGACTGATCTCTGTAGTTGAGGTGATATTTATTGGAAAATACCAATTATATCTCAACTGACGTTGCACAAAAAATCAAGCTACGAATCAGTACGAATGTTGTTTTCACTTGGATGCAAGTAACAATCAAAGGATTACCATCGCCACGATAGAAAATGCTCTACAGAAGTTAATTTGTTTATTTATTTATTTATTGAATGCACATGAAGTGCGCACTACAATGTAAGGTTAATTGATTGTTGTAATGATTCCAAAATACCATTAAACTCACAACTATTCCGAAGATTCTGTTTAAACAACTTTTGTCCCAGTTTTTTAAGCAAAATTAGCACAGTTTATGTTTATCCAAAAATTGTTTCTTCCTTTTCTTTTGGCCATCTGCAATTTCATCGTTTTTGCTGTCCTTTCTTTAGTGGAGGGCGAGAGAGGAGTGATACTCCTGTATTCGTTTAAAACCATGTCCATCGTTTCCATCTTTCTCCGACTTTTATATTATTTTATTTTATTATATTGTAAAATCCTTTTTCTTAGATTTATTAGAGAACAGTACATGCGTTTACAAGCGACTTATTACATTTTTTAATAAATTTTATCATTGCTTTCAACTACAGAGAGTAGTAAATTTTGGCTCTCCTGTTTTCAAGCTTTTCTAAAAGGCATGGTAAAGGCAGTAAATGGAAAAACCTCCCTGAACTGGGGAAGTGGAAGTGGGAGTGAGCTCAAAAGGAAGGTTGGCGGAATGTTAGCGTTTGCGCTCATACAGCAGATAGATCGACGTCAGACATTAACGTCTACTTCTTCACGGTATTTCCGATCGACGAATAGCGTTCAGTACCGTATGTGGTATGACTGATCAAATAGTTTTTGCCAAGTTCTCCTCCGCAATGAAGCGACCAAATCCAGTTAGTAAGATAAATCTGCAATGGAGTGAGAACTCAGAATTGGGGTATCCACGAATAGCGTCAAGCCATACATTGACGCCACGATACCAGTTGGTCTCAATAATAAACGATTCCGTGGTCCTCCCCAGATTTATACGCATTAGACGAAATCAGACAGTTTTACTGGATCATCTAATCTCGAATCGTGTTAGACCGTAAATGTTCCACATCTATGATGTATTACTGGTATAAAATTGCATTGCATTACATTGTCATTCTCGAGATACCTCTTTTGCTCATTCCACAGAAGGACCATATTCGCATTGTTTAGGTAGTGGCTCAAAGTGTGTTCGCACTTTTTAAATACCATGGATGGATGCGGCATGTTTTCCTTTTCCATCACGTAAAAGGATCAGCCTTTGGCGAGTGTTTTCTTCTGATGGCCAGTATACAACACACTGTTAAACAGGTGAGCAGATCCCAAATCGCATGGGTATTGTTTCCATGGGAAAGGGTGTGTCCAGAGAGAAAGTAGTTAAGTTCGAAAAGTGCTACGTTTATGCCTCCTAATGGATTCTTTTGACAAGGGAAAATAGGTGAAGGGATTGAAATATATCGTAATAAAGAATATGTAAATAGCTGTGAATGATAATGAAAAATATTAAATCAACAAGCACATGCAACCCACTGGAGCACCGACTTTTTCGCACTATTGTCTACGTTCTAAAGAATAGCATCTTCACTATTATCACTTCTGAATCCTCTTTAATATTGGAACACTCTTCAGTTAGTCCTAAATTATCAGCTTATTCTTTAGCTATTTTGTACTGAGAAAAAAAATATCTCTTCTATTTTAGTGAGTGACGTGGCTGATTTGAATAAACCTTTTATAACAAAGAAACATCAGGTATTTAGGTGCTTCAAAGATAAGCATAGACGAAGCTTTGTCACTTGGGTACAGGCGAAAAAGGCGATGTTCCCGAGGGTTCTAATAATTTTTAACCACATGAGCTGTTGGATACACCTGCACTTACAGCTTTCATCGTGGAAGCGCCCATATTAAATCAACAACAAACCTAGTTGAGCCAAATATTATATCCGACATCCACTGAAATCTATGTTTCCCAGAATTCCTCTTTCAGTGGCCATCTACACATTCATTCGGTTGAACTGGTCTCATTTTTCCTACTTTTCCAATTCTTTATTCTCGAAAAACAGATTTTCTCGGGTTTTCGCTATGAAATCCTTGGTTCTGGCATAGTTCATGAAAACCCTTACATCAGTTCCCTGAACGTAATTTAAGAATGGGTAGATATAGCTAGACGAAGCTGCCTTTACCCACGTTGATTCGAGTAGGTTCGTCTACAAACGCCTAACTGTTCTCAGAATATTCGGTCGATTTGTTGATCTCCACATTAATTTACCATTCTGCTTTTATTTCTTAATATGCGAATTTATATGAAGACTATGTGAAAGGCAGAAGGTGGTGACCACAGGCATGTCTAGCGGATTGAATGCCGGTTGCCCTGGCAAACCGAAGCTTCTATTTCGCTGGGGATTGGTGATGATAGGCATGTCTGATTGCGAGAGATCAAAAAGCTTTTTTACATCATCCGACTTCGGTACTTCATTGCCAAGCTATGCATAATTCTTTAACTTAAAGTCAACAAGATTTCAAATTTGCGATGCTGGACGGGTTTTACACTATTCAATACTCAAACGCATCGCTTTTCATAACTTTACTTTCACTTGAAAAGTTGAAATTTCGTCAATAAAGTTCCTGATTCGAAATGTACCCACTAATATATTTGATAAGAGCGCGATTTCTCACGTTTTGATCAAGCATCGAATAAATGGGGTAAGTTTCTGTTCATTCTTAAAAAAAGACGCTGGGAGCTCTTTCTTTACTATTGACTATCGGAAGTTAACCGCTAAGTCTCCATGACGTCAACCCCAGTCTCTAGTAATAGCCTTTTTCCGGTGCCTAATGTGTTTTTCTTTTGTCAGCGCCTTTCTCAAAGAAAAGCTTTAGGAATAAACAGTTTCAGCAAATAAAAATGGGTTGTGGTAGGAAAATTGAGACTAAGCTTATTCTAGTATAGTCAGGGCAGATTTCTTCTCCAAACAGGTACTGAGAAGAGGAATTTTCCGGTTTCTAGTAAAATCGTATTCACATTTAATAGATTTCAACATTTAAAGCTCATTGAAAGACATCAGAAAATACACCTTTTTTGGAAGTTTAGGTGGTCAGACCATTAATATGCGCAAAACGAATTTACGATCACCCCTTTGCATCTTTACCTGGCACAGTGAAAATGATAGCCATTAGGTTGTGGGGTAAAAAAACTGACAGTGACTTAAAATGAAGATATCATGACAAAGAGTTGCTACATATTACGACAAAAATGCTTGGATTTCCTCCAAAGTAGTTGTGATGTTTAATGGTCTAATACTATGCGACTTGAGGATAATCAGGTATTTGATCACAATCCGTATCGACGAGTGCTTATTTTTGACATAGTCTGCGACTGGGGCCTTTTTCATCTTTTTGAAAGTGAATCATACGTTCAAGCCCCAAATGGAATTACTTGTTTAGCGTTTCCTTAACCCCTTACCATTGTCAGATTTCAGATACTCCACATGGAACATAATTTCTTCACCTTCAACCAAAATGAGTATGTCAGTCGTAGCCAATTCAAAAAATATCTCATGCAGTCCAGTTTTCTAGGAAAAGGTGCGTTTCCTATGTTTTTTTTTTGTTAAAATAGTTTTTGTTTCGTGTTCGAGTTTCCCACTTTGTGATGCTTTGGTCTGCTTCTTCGCAAAGTTTTAGGAAGATTGATGAATCAGATTCCCGTACTCATAGTGACACAGTTTTTTGTCCTCTGTTGAATCATGAATTTGTTTTTGTTAGTAGAAAACAGTGATTATAAAGCTGTTCCTACGATCGTAATCCAATATACGGAGTGAAAACATGCGATTAGGAGATCTGTATGATAGCGTCGGTAATAGTCATGAATTCAGTTCTGTAGAGGTAAAAAAGTGCACTACGACAGCAGCGAAAAGGGTAATTCCGAAAATTCCTTGGCTGGAAAGTCGTAGATCGTAGCGACAAAGGCT